AACTGGAGCAGTTCTGATGCGCGGTCATCAGAACCGGAGCAGTTCTGATGCGCGGTCATCAGAACCGGAGCATCTCTGCCCGAAGGCCATCAGAACTAGAGCAATTCTAATGCGCGGTCATCAGAACCGGACTCTGCCCGAAGGCCATCAGAACTAGAGCAATTCTAATGCGCGGTCATCAGAACCGGAGCACCTCTGGTCGTGCGCGGGCGACCTGTGGACACGAATGTCGTCCAAAAGCATACTCCAGTAAGTTTGATTTCACTTTGAAAAGATCAATCCTTTTATAATTTACATTCTGCAAAAACATCCCGGTACTAGAATTATGACTCTTCCGATCCAGTGTTCTTCTACTGCAAGTGTAGAATAATTTTCCCTTCTTTGAGAATTTTGAGTTTGTTTATAATTTCCAAGATACGTAGTGTTAAAATAAGGAGTAGAATTAATGGCTTTAGAAACTGGACAAGCTTTTTCTGGAATCCTCTGCGGTCTGGAAACTCTAGCTTAGGGATCCTTAGGATTTATTAAACTATATCATAATGTGGGTGACAGCTAATCTAACAGGTATATTAGACTAATGTATCTTAAAATCTTATAATGGCCAATGAGGGTTAGGGCATTTTGGGGATGGGAAAAATGTTGGTGTAATCATCTAGCTCAATAAGGTTGTACTATGCAATTTAGGAGGTGTACTCTCTTTAAGAAACTCATTTTTCCGTTTTATATCCGTTTAATGCCTCCGTTCATCTGCCTCTCTTCTGTCACCGTCAAACGACCTTTTCTCTTCAAACCATATGCAGCTGCCTTCTTTCGCATTGCAGCTATTCCACATCGATCGAGCTGCTCTGCCGGCTGCTCTCCCTCTCATAATGCCGGCTGATTGCTCAAACTATGACATGATCACCACCCACTTCTCTCGTTCGTACAACCCAAACAAGCTATTGAATCCAGGGTTTCTCTCCCCTACGATTGTCATCTATTTTCTGGTATATATGTAAATTTCTATTCTTTGTTTATCTCATCGCTGGGTTCAATTTTTTGTATTAATCTGCTATTTGGGCCCAATTGAAATATAACTACCTAATAAGAAAAACTTCCCCTTCGATAGACAATAACCTTAGTCGGTATTTTTCTTTGCGGATATTTTAGTTGTGGTTGAAGGCAGTTAACATCAGTAATCCAGCACTGTGTATTTCTTTCCTCAATCTGGGATAAATAATAATTGAGCAATACTTTTGAATAGTAGTGTGCCTTTGTTAATTGTCGACCGTAATCGATGTATGGATGATAAGCGATCTAAGTTGCTAGGATGGGTACTATCACATTTACGTGATGCACACTTCAACTTAAGCACATATATGGCCATTCATATAGAAAAGGAGGTACAATATATAAAATGTGGTGATTTATCAATTTTTTTTCTTCATGGAATGAGTAAAAAATTATTCCCAGTGGCTAATATCATAAGAAAATGAACTGACCAATCAGGGGCGGAGCCACTCCAGGACACTGGGCCGAACTAGATCGGTACAAAGAATATTTTAGGAAAAGATTTTACACGGAATTTTTTATTGTAAAAATATAGACATTTTTAAAATTTGGGTTGGACCAGGGCCAAGGTCGGCCGCTCCCTAGCTACGCCCCCTGTGACCAATAGGAATATGTCATTCATAATGCAGCCATTCATATAAAAAAGAAGGTACAATATGATAAAATGTGGTGATTTATCAATTTTCTTCCTTTTAGTGGAATGAAGTAAAAAATTATTCCCAGTGGTTGTATCATAAGAAATGAACTGATCGATAGGAGTATGCCATTCATAATGCAGTTCCTACGTAGGATGGCTCAACCGTGCGATAAAAGTGGTGCACTGGGTAAGAAGACACTCTTATCTAAAAAAGACTTGGAGAGGATGGTTAGTAGTCCTGAAGGTGAAATTCTGGATTGAGCATTCTCTGCATTTTAGTTTCTGCAAGCTCTTTTTTCCTCTTTCCCTCCTTTCTTTGTCTTTCATATTTGTTGTCACACAATGATTGATGACTAGCGATGACTGGAGATGAATAGATTCTGTTCTAAACTTTCAGCCTGATCAGTTGTGTGCAATGATATCATCCTAACTTACAATGACCTCTGCTAATGTCATTTGGAATGATAAGTTTTCTTAGCCAATAGTTTGACGCTGCATTGCTTTCTTCACCTCCAAAATACTTGCTCTCCTACCTTTTAAATTTCATTAACCGAAAGAAGTATTTTAGAGATTACTTAATGTCCTGCTTGTTTCAAAAAAGATTAACTCGAAGAATTCTACCACTTTGATAAACACCAGTTAAGTAATGATATGATTGTATTGTCTTGATTCCCTTATTGCTTAGTTGGTGAAAATACCTGGTCGAGGACAAGGAGGAGTGTGACTTTATAGTCGACTAAAAGCACAGTCAACCATATGAGGCATGTTACTATGTAGAATATAGCATTATATAGACGTAGAGGTCAAGATGGAATGACTGCCACGTCAAGAGTGTGGCCTAATCATGTACTGATAAGAGTTGTCCAAGTTTCCAAAAGGTCAGGGAAGCTCTCATAGTATGTTCTTTTATGAGGAGTCGAACATAAGTCTTTGGATCTCCAAGTGTTTTACTTTTCTCCACCACAAAAGTAGGCACACTCTTAATGCCAATTGCCAGCGAAGGGAAATGGGAATGGTGTGCCAATGAGATAGGTCTAGAATGTTACTATGATGTAACTTTTACTTAGGACTAACTTGGTTGTTTAGTTCATACACTGTGGAGAGAACATCCCTAAGATGGAATATAATAACACTGCCGAGGTTATGAAAATTAAATTTTTTTCATGGAATGATAAGTAGGGGCATGTGAGCAAATGAGCAAATTTATACTGATATAACTGGTAACCAAGTTTATACTGATATAAATCGCCCTATATTTGGGTCTTGGTTAATGTGTGTGCTTCACTCTGCCTTGCTCAACGAGTGCAACCCAACGTACTCGCCCTTTTCTTCATCCATCAGATTTTGCATGGTTTTCTCCATGCTAATACCTCTATGAAGGCTCAACTTTAGCTCACTGTGGGTGACTTGACTTTGGTTTGTTCAACTACAAAAAAAAAGTTCTTCATGTTTCCCTTGTTTCTCACTCTTGAGTATGACGTTGTAACACACTCAATAGGCTTATGATGTATTATACAAATGAACGTCTATACAGAAACTAAAATTGGGCATTATCCCCTCGCGCATCGCGCGTTCAAATAACTAGTACATAAATAAGTATTAAGGGGTCGGGTCCTAAATGGGTCGGAACTACATATACCATACCTGACCCATTAAATAACGGGTCCAGATCCGGGTCCGGGTAACGGAATTAAATGTAGACCCATACCCATTAAAAAAAGACGGGTCCAGGTCGGGTTCAGGTTTGGACCCGACCCATTGACATGCCTATTGTCATGTTCACAACGTGCTAATCAGGTGAATTGTGCTTGATAAAAGAAAGAGTCGAGTTCAAAGTTTCAAACTGTAATCGAGTTTCAAGAGTCATGAAAATGTATAACTTAACTTCAGTGGAATTTGAGTTCGAGCTCGAGTTTTATCCTGACGTATATATTTAAGCAAATGGTTTAATTTTCCTTTACTGCGCATGTGCTGTCACTAATAATTAGTGAAAAATAAAATAGATGTTGTAAATCTCCGCCTACTTGTTGATTGGACAATAGGGATTTCTAATACTCAAATGTATGAAATTGAAAAATCAATATCAATTTAAACGAGTAGTTTGCGAGCTTTTCGAGTTTGTTTTATATGACTTGGTTGGGAGTTTGAATCGTGTTTGAGTGTGAGTCAAGTTTGAATCGACTCAAGCTAGACGTGAATAAAAATTGAATCGGTTTTGAGTAACTTCCAAGTTGGCTTGTGTGATAAGCACCCTACGGCCCGACATAGACATACTTCATCCATCTTGCTAAATTATCTCATTTTTTTTGATCCATCTCACTAATATTGACTAGTACAAAATTTGTTAGAATTTGTGTGATTTTAAATTATTCTTACTTTATTCTTACTTTATATATTGGGAAAACTGTCAAATAGGTCCTCGAACTTTCATAAGAAAATCAATTAAGTCCTTCTATAGGAGACTTTGTCTGGTCGTCGCGATTTGGGGCGGTTCCCGGTAGAATTTTTTGATGAAATTTTTCGAGCATCTCATTTATCAAACCTAGTTTACTCATACCCAATTTTAACTAAAAATTTAATCGGGAGCGCATTCAAATTAATTCGAGAACGCAAAAATACGCAGTTATCTTCAAGAATTAATTTGAATGTGTTCCCGATTGAATTCTTAGCTGAAATTTGGTATGAGTAAACTAGACTTGGTGAATAAGATGCTAAAAAAAATTCATCAAAAAATTCCACCGGGAACTTCCCCAAATCGCGACGGCCGGCCAAAACCTCCTATAGAAGGACTTAATTGACCTTTTTATGAAAGTTCGAGTACCTATTTGACAGTTTTTCCTTATATATTCAATATCAACCACCTAAATCTATGTTTATTAATAATTGTACCACCTCATCATTTCCTAATATTAATGAGACGGAGGTAGTACTTTTCCATGACCAGAAATCTTGTGAGGATTGTGAAATCTTATCTTTTTGGATGATCTAGCAGCTATAGAGGCACACAAGTCTCACTCACATTCAACACATCATCTTGACCGTGTAACATTTGATAAAGAAGCATACCGTCTATATCATTATAACATGATATGAAAAATCAATGTGATAAGAGTAGTCTTTATTTTTTATTTTTTAGTATAAAAAAATGTATTAGGCCTAGCTTGCCCACCCCATATTAAAAATGTCTTTATTTTTAATATTAGAAATTCCAGGTAATTTTTTTTAAAAAATATTCTCTATATTGGTCAAGTCGGAGAAGCCTCCACCCCCATTCATGTGAGACAAACTCTATTAATGATTGTTCACTCTACAGTGGCGACCAAGATGCGGTGGTTTCAGTGACTGCAACCCGGTATTCCCTCAAAGCTATGAACTTGACAGTGATAAAGCCTTGGCATCCATGGCAGGACGGCACCAAAGAAGTAGGCCTCAAATCAAATTAAACCCCTCTTTAATTGATGCTTCCTATCACAAAACCAATGATTTAGCTTAAATTCAGCTTGATGGGTTGATGCTAATTTTCCAGGTTGGTGGATATAAGGTGGTTTATGATGGTTTAACATTCGCCACAGTTAGAGGAGCTGGGCATCAAGTTCCACAGTTTCAACCGCGTAGAGCTTTTGCCTTGCTTCAGATGTTCCTGGCCAACAATCACCACTAAGTTCATATCTTCTTTCAACCGAGACGGATCTTGTTCATTATTCATGTCGATGGCGACAAGCAACGAATCTGGACTAGCATCTTGGCCAGATTACTTTCAGCATAATTAGTTTCTTCTCCTAGTTTCTTCTCCTTTTGTCAAATAGTTGTACTGATCATGTATGTAGTTCATGTATATCCTAATATCCTTGAAAATAATAACACGATCAGAGGAAAAATGATAGTTATCAATTATAACAGGCTAGTGATATCGTTACTAGTCAAATAAGAGGTCTCGGTTGAGAAAAAAAGGGACCTCATACAAAATTGAAAGATAAAACACACCTTTTGCTCATATATCATACAATATTAATATTGAAAGATAAAACACACCTTTTGCTCATATAAAACACACCTTTTGCTCATATATCATACGATGTGTTAAATTGCATAAATATGAGTACTACTTTTAATAATGCACATGTATGACTAAATAAAAGTCAAATTTAAAAAAAGAACATTTGGACATTTAAAAGTTATTGGACCGGTTGTGAACGTGGGTCTCTTTTAAATGCTATAAGGCCATTGTTAACCTTATTGGGTTTCTTTCAACTGATATTGGGCCCGGGCCGATTATTAATTTTAATAATGGTTGATAAACCTTATCAAAAGGAAAAGTGGAAATATCCCGTTCAGTTCACTTTTGTTAATTGCATATCATTTATGTCACCTAAATATTTAGTTTTCAATTTTAAACTTTTATCTTTTCACTTTTAATTTTTTATTTCAAAAATAACCTAGCTAAATCAAAACTAATACTCCCTCCGTCCCCTTTTAAATGTCCCGTTTTACCATATTGGGATGTCCCTATTTAATTGCCCCATACCTTATTTGGTAAACTTTGTGTGGCTCAAAATCATTCTTACTTTATCAAATATCAATTAATATCAACCACACAAACTCACTTTTCTTAAAACCCGTACCACCATCTCCCGTGCCACGCATTTAAAAGGGGACGGAGGGAGTACTCCGTAGTCTCAAGGGAGAAGATCGATCGTTGGAGATCCGGCCTGAAGCAGAAGCGTGTACAGCTGTTCTCCACCTGCTCGGCTCTTGCTGCGCCTCCAGCCTACGCGCTCTGCCCTCCGTCTTGTGCGGCTGCTCCGCGCGCCGTTATCCGTCCTGTACGGCTTTGCGCTCCGTCCTCCGTCCTGTCATCTATATGTGGTTTACACTCTGAAGGAGATCTTGACTCGGCGTCCCCTGGCGGCTATAATCCAACTAAGGGTCGACATCGGCGCTACAAAGCCTGGATCACCAATATGCCCGGCTCTAGGTCAATCGAAGTTGAACTCCATTGATTTCTGCAAGGATTTTAAGTTTCAATGCCTGTACGCAGAAATACAGGTCTTGAACGCGTATGTCCGTTACGATGATGGCTTTCAAGGACGGAATCTTCGAATTCTATGTTGAAATCTCCCTCTGTAGCAGGCGGCCGGGGTGGAGAGAGGCAGCCGCCGCCCTGGTAAGTCAGCCGCCTTTGATGGATTTTTCTGTTTGATTTTTGGATTCCCCGTTCAATTTGATGGATTTTTTTTGTTTGATTTTCAAAGTCAATTTGCTAAATGATTTTGCTCGTCAATTTTAGTTTTCTGCCTTTTGACTCTCCATTGATCTGAGTTTTTTGTACATAAACATAAATTGCATGGTATGATGTTATGGTAATGTTAATTTCTTCTGTATCTGTAAGTTCCATATGGTTGCCTTGTTTGATTGTTTTTGTATTCCTCTCGTTATACTACCGATTTGGTAAACCTCAAGCAATTGATTTACATCTGCAAATATATGTTTATGAATCCACCTAACTTGTATCTCTTCTGCAGTTCACGGGTAAGATATTTTCTCTTTGCACAACAACGTAACAAGCTTCTGATATTTTGCTTAGTCAATTATTCAAAAATTGAAATCTTTGCACAATTTATTGAAACATGGTTTAGATCTTGGCGCCAAACAGAGTAACTCGTCACATAAACATGTTGTATTCCTGCCATCATATTTTGATGCCTTAAAATTCCTACCATCATATTTTGTGGATATATTTTGGTGTATCAATTATTCAGGTGTAATTGCAGGTGGATAATAGTTGGTTTTAGATTTCTATCTAATTGCAGGTGCATAATAAAAGTACATTGAGATGATAGTAAAGTTAAGAAGATCAACAAGGAAATGAAGATAAAGAGACAAATATGATGGATTGTGTGTTAAAAAGCATAAAAGGAAGAACAAATGAAGCATCAAAGCCAGATAATCTACTCTGTAATACATAGTAGATAAATGTAATAAATCGAGTTAACAGATTGTATTATACAATTATTGTGACATTTTTATATGTTGTTTTCTTGTTTCTTTTTTTATGTCTTGTAGTTGTCATTTTTTGTTGCATCGTGTTGCATATTGTTGCATCGTGTTTCCTATTATTGCATCGTGTTGCTTATTATTTCTTTTGTTGTTTATTTAGGTTTATATATATCTTGGTCACTTTTTATGACTATTATCAACAACAAGAAACATGGAGAAACAACAAAAACGTTATCAACAAAAACGTTATCAACAAAAAGAAACACAAAGAAACAATATGCTACAAAAAGTAACACTCACACAGTCACACGCATATATAATCATAAATTTTGGTTTTTGAATACTACGTACTTTGTATTAATTAGCAACAACAACAAGCATGGAGAAACAACAAAAAACAACACTATAAAAGTTATCAACAAAAAGAAACACAAAGAAACAATATGCTACAAAAAAGTAACATTTTTGAAAAATACATTACAAACCTAACATGTTTTATATTTTAAAACATTTTTAGTTATACTAAGTTTTTTTTTTAATAGTTCTAAAACACGTTTTCCTTATTTTACATTTTTTTTCCTTATATTTTTTTGGTTTTTAGGGTATTTAACCATAGTTAGACCCTTTTATTAAACTTTTGATTTATTTATATTTTTGAGAGTTTATATTCTGATATAATTTACGGAGTATTTAACTATTTGAAAAAGTTATGACATTTTTTTTGTAGTTTTCCCACATTTGAGACTAACTCTAAATTTCTAACTACTTATTTTTCTACTCGTTATTTTTCTTATTTATTTTTCAAAACATAAATTACATTGTTTTGTATTTAAAAATTGATTTACAAGTTTCAAAATTTTCATTTTTATTATGCATTTATTGATTTTTTATTTTATGAGTTTGATGTTTTCTTTCCTTTTTAAATTAGATTTCAATTTTTAGTTTTCTGGATTTTATTGTTTCTGAATTATTATAATATTTTAAATTTTAATACGGAGTAACTTTTAACAATTTTTTTACGACGTATATAAGAACAAGACATTCAGTAATAGCTATACCGAGTGTTTAGGAATCTGAAGTTAATATTCAAAATCCATGTACATAGCACGTGCAGTGGTGAGGAATTGAGGATTAGACCTCCGTCTAGGGCTGAGCAAAACCCGATCCGACCCGAAAAACCCGATATTTTTTCCGGATATTATCCGAACCGAAGTGGATATCCGACCCGAAAAACCCGAAACCGAAAATCCGATTAGTATTGGGGCTAGACCGGGTGGCGGGTAGGGTTAGTGAAATCCCAACCCGACCCGCCCGAATATCCGAAATATAGGTTAGTGTGTACTTTGAATATTTAAATTAATACCCGTGTTCAATTATTTGTGTAATTAATTATTTGTGCAATTTGTATTAAATTATTTGTTTAAATTGAATGTGTAATGCACTAATGTGTACAATTTTTATCAAAGTGGCATTCCAACACTTTAATTATCCAATTATAATGTGTTTTAATATAACCGAAATATCTGAAATATATTACATTATGTAGTGTGTACTTTGAATATGTTAAATTAATAGTTGTGTTCAATTATTTGTGTAATTATTTGTGCAATTTGTGTTAAATTATTTGTGTAATTTGGAAGTTTAGTGCACTAGTGTGTACCATTTTTGTCAAAGTGGCATTTAAACAATTTAATTATCCGATTATAATTATTTTTAATAGAACCAAAATATCCGAAACCCGACCCGATATCCGATAATATCCGACTTAAAAATATCCAAAATACCCGATTTGAAATATCAAAGGGTCGGGCCTAGTATTTAAATTAAAAAACCCGAACGGGTTTAGGGTTCGCAAACCCGACCCGCCCGAACCTGACCCGTGCACACCCCTACCTCCGTCCTCTGGCAGTCTGGCCTTTAAGCGAGTTTCAACCGTTTCGTAGGAGTTAAGTCTATGAGAAGTCTATTTATGAAAACAAACGTTCCGCAAATCTATTTTTGAAAGGAAACTTGAAAACTGAAAAAAGTGATATTATTTTTGTTTTTTGGTCTAGTTGGGAAAAATTCCCAAAGGAAAATAGTGATATGGACCCTTGTGATAAATTTAGGGATCAAGTTAATATGGGTTATCTCAGAAATCCAATTAATTTAATTGATATTTTAAAGCAATGGGTTGGTCCTATTATTTTTTCTATTTGAGGCTAACATTAAATAGCCGCTCAATATATAAGAAATATGATCTCATTTATTGTAAAAATATATTTTTGGGGTTGAATTGATATTGTGAAATATTCTAATAGTCTATACATCGATAATATCCTCTCTTGGTGGATATTAAAAGCGGAGACTAAAACCATCTAAAATATTATAAACACCAATAAAGGTTAGGGCATTTTAGGTACAAAAAATGTGTTGGTGTAACTCAAAGTAAAAAATGATTGTGCTCTCCGCTGAAATCATTGTACATTTTATCAACTCAACAATATTGTCCCTAGACGGATGCCGACACCGTTAATCTGCCTCCTGCTTCGAAATTCTTCTACCCTTCTTCCTTTATCTCCAGTCTCCACACTCCACCATTCACGCCCAATACAAAGTGGACGTTGCTAAAACAACTAAAGTCTAAAACTACCTCATTAGACTCTACAATTGAAGAATGTACTTCACAAATTGGTTAGATCCTCCTCATCCTTTCTATCTTCTTCGCATCCTCATTTGTCCAGCTTCAAGTGTATCCTGTGAATTACGTTTGACTCTAAATTATATTCTTATATGTTCATTGTTTAACTCTAAATTGTTGTATGTTCATTTTTTTCTTTTGTGTGGGGCCATTTATGTGTTTTTGTTGGCAATTGATTAGCCATTTTGGCCCTGTACGTGAAGGGATGTAATTAGTA